GCTTTCAAACAGGGGAAAACTTGGTTCTGTCCTTAAGACGGTGTAGTCAATGCTCAAACTATAACGTAAGTATACATATCTATAACTTTTTTGTTAAAAAATATTTTATGAAATCATAAATTTTATACCTACATTTACTATGGAAAACCTCAGGTTTAAGCTTAGTGCAACAATTACAGACGAAAATAATTATATGGTTGCTCTGCTCTCCGATAACGCAACACAAGACTTATTCGGCTCTAGCAGCTGAGAAACTTATACCCGACGATGACATAAACTGCAGAGGACAACTACCTCCAATTGCTGCTACTGTACAAGGAATACCCAAAAAAATGAAACTTTGTATCACAAACACATCGACAGATACGAACATTCAGTTTATGATTACAGATATCGAAAAAAATTACCCACATGAAACAGTATACCCAACAACACCAGCACCAAACCATCGATCTACGTTAAAAGACAGTGAGAAGGACTCTTCTTCGGTTCCTCAACACAGCAGAGCAGACATCAGAAGGTCATTACCATTTGAAACTCAAGGTAAATATTTCTCAGTGATCTAATTAGACTACAAAGTCACTTCTTAGATTTTGTTAACAACTATGTATACAATTATGTGTATAAATTTACCATTGCAGACACATCAAGTACAAAACGTAAAAGCGCACGCAAGACAGAATGATGCATCTCCCCTCCTATGTTGATAATGATCGCATTATCACTTTTGTATAATATGTATAAATTAAGGTCCAGAAAACATGTTTAGTCTCAGACTTTGTAATTTTCGTTTTGTACGATAGTAAATATAAGTAACATGTTCATTAATCTATCATTTATCGTCCTATATTAACTTTAATTCAAATAACAAGCACGACAAATTTTTAAATTACATTTTACAACGGGCTTCTTTCCCTACGTTTTAATTTCATATGGCCTTTTAGCATAACAAATATATTGACCTTTAACATAGTATAACTCCTGACTTATAATGTTCAACGATCGTAAGCTTTTTGGTATTAAAAATCAGATATATTTTTTATCTATTCTAACAATTTTCTATCTTTTATCATAAGATTGAATAATATAAAAACCTTTTTCGTATTTTATTCTAGCAATTATTTAAAACGGTAATACAACGTCACAGTATTCCACCATTTCCATTTAACCCTCTAATGTGTATGACTACCACATAGACATCAACATACCATTAAACGCATTTGCGCCCAACTACAAATTAAAGTCGTCGTTATCTATTTACTATTCACTGTTATGTTGGAAATATATGATTAAATTTAATACTTTAAAAACATTATATAAACCATTATTTTTATTAAAAATAAAAGTAGTCATTATCTGTCCACTATTGAGCATTATCTACGATTTACATTAAATCATATATATAATTTTTACAAACGAAAACCATATGTAGCCACGTTGTTTAACGAACAAGTTGACAACGCATGTTGCATGGACAGACAATAGAAGTATAGAACGTATGAATAAGCTATGCTATAGCTACGAAAAATTATTACACATGGGAGTCTAATACTATTACTCAATGTACCACACATATAAATTGTCTATTCTATAAATAAATGCCATAACCACGACGTTAAAAACAATATACTCAGAATGAATAAGAGCGATTACAACAAAGGTCTGACGATTATGATCGATTTCGTTAGGGAAATTGCTAACATGCTTGAAGCAATCCAATCCCGAGTAGAAGAAAGTTTCTGCATCGACGGAAATATCATACTATACATAGCAAATCATCCTGACGATGTAGATGTCCAAACACTCCATAACATCTTTGAGAAAGCAAAAACAGAAGATCAGTCCATAGAGGACAACATCTCCTTCATGTTGGGATCAATCCACAAGAGAATTGGGAAGTACAAACGTACCATGAAAGACACAACCTCCGATTGAAGACCTGATTTCCTAGTGTTAAAATATTAGACGTCTTATGTATATACAACAATGTAAATAGGAAGTGTAACCGTCACAATGTTTATAAATAAAATTACTTTATCTATTAAAGGACGTGTGAATATTAAAACAACCATAGATAATTAAATTTCAAAGGCGTAACCTCCAACTACACTTGCACATATGAAAAACACGTATTCCATTAGGAGATTACTCATCACACGTCTTGTGCAACACGTGTCAGCTAATGTTAAAAATTCTCTTAAAACACAGTATAAATTGCATAATTGACTCCAAACACAAACACATTCCATAGAAAACTACCAAGAAAAAATATCCACCACTCTACTTCGCTATGAAACACTGCGACGCCGAACATATGATCAACATTATAGTCCATCACAAAAATCAAATGATGAAGACCATTCGTACGCTGAAACACAACATCAAAACAGCAAAAGCCATTCAAGGAAACCTAGCAAAAACGCTAACACAAACACCACACTTTCTAAACTACGCAGTCTCAGCTAAAATATTGGACACCGAAGATGTTTTCAACACAAAAGCAAACAACGGAGTTGTCGCGTTAGAAGAAGAGATTAACCAAAGCATTGCAACACTAAAGAAAATTCCAGATAATATTCCAGTGAAGTAAATATTTTTTTCGACTTTTTATCATACAACACGTGTAATGTTTTAATAATGTAAGTTTACATTATTATACTTCAATAAAAAAAAATATTTTCACGCCTTTAATGTACGTTTTCATACATTCTTTTACATTATACCAACAAAATCAAATATATGGATAACCCAAATCGTCTAAAATCTCAAACGCCACCAATACGTTACATCATGCATGATTACTCCTCGAGAACTAACACCTGCATTAAACACCCAACAACCAACTTAAATGCATATTTGTATATTTAAAAACCATGGTTACTCTTCAACACTCCATATTCCAGAAAAAAAATCACTCAAGAAATATGAAACCACAGCACATGGAGCACATACAGATGAACCTCATAGATCACTATGAGGCTGAGAAGCTATCGATAAAAAACGCACAAGAGGAATGTTGGAGCATCGAAAATATAAAAGCGAGCTTATCACGGACATGGACTGCAAACCATGCTACAATAACTACCCGGAGATACAGAAACTTCTGTTGGACAACAAATACGAGAGTGCAAAGCTGCTGAGGGCCATGCAAGACATGGAGAAGAAATATGAGGAGAGCTGATCAAAAAAGACATAAAAAAACCTTCCTGAAGAAAAAAATAAAAAAAGACATCTAATATGTTTCGTTGTCTTATTATCTTTTGATCTTTTGCTGTCCTCAAATATTTTGTTTCCAGATTACATATGTAAGACGTCTCGAAATATCTATGTATCTTCTATGTATGTTAACCGTTTATCAATATAATGCTATCTTTTTTCAGTACTACATTTAGAAGTTAAAGAAAAAAAAAAAAAAATTCTAAATCAGCGCCAATAGGCGCGTTTGATTCCATGTAGTTATCATCAAAGATTATAATTCGTCCCATGTCAACATCCCATCATCAAAGATTGATACATCACAATGCACTTCAGCAGTTAGCTAACTTGCTCACTAGGTTGACCAATCAACAAATTGAAAAATATAATGTCAAAATTACTCTTTTTTAAAAACATAAAAAAAAAAATATAGGGTCAAATTAAAATTGTATATAAACTTAGTGTTTTTTATAATTTATACTATTAACCCATAAATAAACATATTAATAAATTCACTTTTTTTTTATAAAAAATAAAAATTAAACAAATCAATATGTTTAAGTTGTTTTATAAATAAATAAGTAAATGATTTAATATGTTGGTTTTAAAAATGTAATTCAGAAAGGTTTTAATTTTGGAAACATTATAAAAGAACCGTTAGAAGGAAGTGGGAAGTCAAAAGGTTTGAGTCGGTGCATTGGCGCTTAATATTACACCTTCTTCGCTGTTCCATTCGATCGTCACTCATCCTGACGAAGAGGCCAATCGCTATCTCTGTAACTCCGCTCCTCGAAGACTCAAGCACCCCCGTCCCCGGCCGGACACTCACAACCATCGACTCTATAATCCAAAGAAATTATCAAAGATTGTCGTAAGTTTTCATTCTTCTCCTTTTCATTCACTCTTCACTCATCCCACTGCTCTCCAAGCACCTCTGTAGACAATTTTTTTTTTTTTTTTTTTTTTTGAAGAGGGTTTTGTTTTGAGGGGATATCGTTCACACTGCTTTATTTTTCTTATCTTCCACCGAGACCAACGTTTCCTTTCTCTTTCATTCTCCCGCGTTCGAGAATACTCTGTGTTTCCCTCTTCGTCTCTTAGGTAAGGTTCTTGATTCTTTTATGTGTTTTATCAAATTTGTTTTTGTGTATTATTGATTTTGTTTGGTATTTTCAATTAGGTCAAGATTCTTCGTGTCTCTCGTCACTACCGGATTCATCATGCTATTGGGTTGTACCCTTATGAATTGTAGTTGTATGACTTCTGGTTGCGATGTCATTTTGTTTCACTGTCATCAATCAAGACAAACAGAGTACATATCTTCTCTTCTGATCTCCAGGTAGCGTTTTAGGCTAACCTTCAATTGATTTCAATTTGTACACCAATTTCAGGTACGGATCTCACTTTTTAGCATTTTAGATATGATTTTTAATATTTAGTATTAAAAATCAAGCAACCCCATATGATTTAGTAATAACCTACCGGATTTACTTTTGGTGGTTATTTACACCACGTAGATTATAAATGTTTTTTGTCCAGGGCCTTTGAAAGGTAAATTAATGACAAAAGTATAAATCTTAATTAACACATACGACCTCTCTAGGTTTCTTTCTCTTTCTTCTCCATTTATTTTTTGTTTTGTTGGTTTTCTGAATTGTGTCACCCAATTGAAACTAGAGCATCCATCAGACAGAGATGATTGGTCAAGAAAGTCGTGATGTGCTGTCAGTAAAACTTAAATAGTTTTGAAACCCAAAAGAGTATTGTTTAGTTGTAGATTGTTCTTCTGTGCACTTTAGGTGTTTGATGAAATGTCTTAACTAAGTTAAAGAGTTGTTTTTGCTATTAGGGAGAGGTAAGTTATTGTTTGTATTTTCAATTTAATTAGAAATAGAAGTGTAATTTACATATTTGAAGCAATTTTTGAATTTCATTGCCACAAAATATTTAGACTTATGTTTGTAGTCCAGCATCAAACCAGTAGAAGAGTGGGAGACTTTCTCCCCAACTCCTGTTGTAGTTTATTTAATAAACTTTGTATTTATTATTTAATTTTTGAATTGTAACAAAATTTAAAGAAGAGGTCCACCTAAGAGATGCATAGCTTGTATAGTTTTTTATGTTTAGATGTTTACAACATTCAACACGTATTATAATGTTTTCCTATTAAATAACAGACCTTACCTTTTGGTTACTTATTTATTTGCTCTATGAATTTAGGGAGGTAACAACCATCGCCCTTTTTGTCCACCAAAACTAGATGGATGATCACATATATGAAAGGTCCAATGCTCTTTCCAAATTAATTTCATGATAATTATTTCTTTATTGTACTTGATTACATCCATGTAGGACAACTTGAAATTTTTGGATGACATGGCAGAATTGAGATCTATTGCGTGATGATATAACAAAGTACATGATATGATGGGTATGATAAATTTATGTATTTTAGTAAATTTGGTAAGGCTTATTGATGCTGAATTAGGTGTGTGGTTATTGCAGTGAAGTCATCTCATCTGATGGTCTGAGAGAAACTAGAGCAATACTGAAGCAGTCAAGAGCAACTAGAAATCTGGAAGAAGAAAAAAAAGGCTAAATGAACATTTACAATGGTGCCATGGTAAGAAACCAAATTGTACTTTTCCTATTACTTAATATTAATATACATGCAAAATGTCTAATAGGGATTAAGTACAAAGCAATATCCGTAAAGGTAATTCATCTAATATGTTAATACTTTTTTCCTGATTTGAAGTGTCTTACATAAATATAACAATTCATTCGTATTCTCAACATTTATGTATTTTGTTGTTGATTGCAGATGAGAGCATTATAAGTATTCTCAACATTTATGGCTGATGAAACTGCAGTTTTGCTACTGTATGCTTTGGTTCATGGGAATTCAGACTTTTTGGAATATGTGTTGGTGCGGACTGATATAGATACATTGGTATGAATCTATTATTGCAAAAAGCAAAATACATTTAATCTTGTTTGTTGTGTATCTTGTCTGAGATTCCTTTTTCAATTAAAATGGCCAGTTAATGCCTTTGTTGGAGACACTCACTCTATGATGCTTCAAGGAGAACATCAAATCAAATCTACATGGTGTTGATTATTCTGCTTATACTTAGTCAAGATGCTTCTTTTAATGCTAGCATCCACAAGCTGGTAACTTTCTTTTACTGGGTTTTTTTTTTATTGAGTTTAGTCTTAATCTATTGGGGAAATTAACCTAATATATATTTTAGATTCTGCCTTCTGTTCCATGGTATCAAGAGCGGCTTCTTCATCAAACATCTCTTGGTTCTCTTATGGTCATCATTCTAATTAGGACAGTGAAGTATAAACATGTCTAAAATGCGGGTAAGACAATATATAACAGAATCTAATTCTACTTATAATAAATATTATGCTATATATATATATTATATAATATAGATATAGTTGCATGTATATGTGTGTTTATACTTTATATCAGTTATATTTGAACTGACTTTTTTATAAATTGGAACAGGATGTTTATCTACATACAAATTGCCTTGCAGCTTTAGCTAACATGGCGCCTCATGTGCATCGATTAAGTTCATATGCATCACAATGCCTTGTTAGTCTTTTTGATTTGTTGTCACGCAAGTAAGCATCTTCCTGATAACAACATTGTACATTCATTTATTTGTTTTTTTACTAATCACTGTTTTTCATGGGCATGATATACAGATATGCAAAACTAGCAGAGCTAAAGAATGATAAAATGCAGATAAATGATAGTGAACTCAAAGATGATGATAAACTTCCTGAAGATACGGTAAATTATTGTTATTACATGGTTAAATTGTTAATATTAAAAGCATCATTCAAGGTTGTATTATATCCTATATGTTGTTTGTTTTTTGACCAGTCAGCAGAATTGCATATCTATACGGATTTTTTGAGGATCGTGATGGAGATACTGAATGCAATCCTGACTTACGCACTTCCAAGGAACCCAGAGGTACAAACAGTATTGCCCAAAAAGACGTAAATGCCCTTTGAGATTGACTTTGTAAAAATTTGGCAGGTGATTTATGCAATTATGCACAGGCAGGAGGTTTTTCAACCTTTCCGGAATCATCCACGCTTCAATGAGTTGCTGGAGAACATTTTTTCTGTATGCACCAAAAATACCATTACTTTAATCATATAATAATATATAATATGTATATTATTGATACAAAATCATTGAATTGATGATGTTTGGTAGGTGTTGGACTTCTTTAATAGCCGAATGGATGCACAAAAGTTGGATGGTGAATGGTCAGTTGAGAAGGTGCTTCAAGTAATCAACACAAACTGCAGATTTTGGCGAGGAGATGGGATGAAGGTAATAATAATCTACATTTTTTTTTTGAAAAAGTAAAAAATAAAAAATGGTAAATGTTCATATTATTAACAATGTTATGGTGTAAATTCAGATGTTCACCCAATTACGCTTCACATGTGAACAAGAAAGCCACCCGGAAGAGTTCTTCATTCCTTACGTCTGGCAGTTGCTAATCTCTTGCAGGTATATCCATAAATATCCATTTTATTTTTAAAATTTCTAATTTAATAAAAATACAAATTTTTCACTTTATTTATTCTACTTTTTAAAATCGAGTTTGTTACATGTGCAGTGGTTTCAGGTTTAATCCCAGTAGCATAAACTTGTTCCCGGTTGAGCTGCCTGTTGAGGTTCGTTTTTTATACTTTTATTGATTTATTGAAAAAATGTAAAGACTTGTTGAGGTTAAAGAATTGTCAAGTATTTGTTTTTTAGAGGCTAAGGTATAAAAACTTACTTTAAAAGATTATACTGTCATAATCAAACCTATTAACCCATTGTAATTTTATTATTTTTATCACCAGATATCTACACTGATGCACTTATTTCCAAAATATTTGGAATTCATGGTTCATTAATAATGCCCATAGATCACCATTGGCTGCACACATAGTAGCAACAACATCCGAACAGGGGGCATTAATCACGGTTCAATCTATCAAGGGCGAATTTGTCCAAAAGTATCAATTTTGGCTAGAAAATGCATGGTGTACTTATTGACCGGGGTTTGGAGGTTAGCTTACAACATAATTCATTTTCTACTATAACTTTAATTACAATTGTTATAATTACAAAAATACATATTTATTCATGTCTAGGTTTGTGAAGTAACAGTTTCTCTTATTGATCAATTGTAAGATTTTATAACCATAATTATATGAATGGTATTGAAGGGTCACTGCTACAATGATAAAAATGGAAAACATTGTCAAAAGTCATGATTTTCAAAATTTATCATTTTCTCTTTGAATTCAAACTTCATATAAGATTTTCTCATTATTTTCTTCTGTCTTCCTTTAAATCCAATCTTAGTGCCATTGTATTTTTTCCTTGGTTTTAACTGTAGCTCACCTTGGCCATCCAGAAGCTGTTGAGAATTGGTGGAGTCTTGTACTATAAACATGAAGATAAACTCTCCTTTTTTTTTTCCTGCAAAATGTGATCTTTTTTATTACAACTTTTTAATTATTATTCATTCAATCCTACTAATTGAAGAATGATGCTTCTTAAGATAACAAATAAACAGCCAAAGAGAGCAACTAAAACTCTAAAGAAACTTTGGTCTATGAGTTTAGAAGTTGTACTATTACAGTTACTCAGATTCTTAAATATTTTTTGGTAATGGAAACTTTAATTGAGAATTAAGATATATTGATGGTTGCAATCTTCACTATTTTCTAATGAACAGTTAATCTTCTGCAGGTAAATAGAAAATTATGGCTTCAAACTTTGAATGAATTAGGGCATAAACATCTTCACTTAACCTTGCAAAAAGTACAGATGACAATTGAAGTGAGTGGTAAGTATGTTTCTGTTTTTCCAAATTGCCCTTTTATGATTAAAAAAACTGTCTTTATTCTCTTTTGCTACCCTAAAACGCCACAATATCAACATCTTAAACATTTAGTTCAAAAACTGTCTTTATTCTCTTTTTGATAGAAGAATAACTTAACTGGAGCAGTTGAGAGCACCTACAAATCTGGAAAAAAGCTAAAAATGACTCACCATTATATGATGTGGATACCAAGTTAAGAAACCAAACCTTACTTCGTTGATTACTTAACAATATACATACAAAATGTCTGTCTGATAGGCTATGGTTTCTTCACTTTTGTTTTATACTTTCAATAGTTTCTTCCTATTAAGATATTCTACTTGACTTTAAGCATTATACCTTTAGTTATAGCATTACTTTTTCGACAAATAACCTATTAAGAATATCTATTTTTTTTATCTATTTTTTTTTCTAAATATGTATCTATGAAAACATTGTCCTCTCTATACGTTTTCCAATTAAAACTTTATACTTTTAAAAGCGAACCATATGCAACATTATTTTTTTTCTATTTTTCAGTATTATTCATTCAAAGTCCAACTTCTTAAGAATTTTTTTTTTTTTTTTTTTTTTTGTAATTATAGTTTAAAAATGTCAACTTATACTTATTGTGGCATATTATACTTTCAAAATGTAACCATATATGGCATTAAATTTTAGACAAAACTGCAAAAAACGGTCCCTGTGGTATGCATATTTTTCGAGGTTTGGTCCAAACCTCAACTTTTTTGAATATAATAAGAGGTCCATCTAAGAGATGCAGATGCATAGGTTGTATAAATTTTTCTATTTAGAGGTTTAAAACATTGATTACATGTCTTAATGTTTTCCTATTAATTAAGTAACAGATATTCCCTTTTGGTGACAGATCTTCTGCTGCATCTCCATTGAAGTTAGTTGACATTGGTATTTTTGTGTCTACATGTCTGTATTATACTTTCTTCACTGAAATTGTATAACATTGCAACATGGATCCTGTATTTGACTATATATATCCATACATTTCTGTCCTTTTACATGATGATACCCTTACCCTGGTTTGTCCCCCAATAATTATACTAGTAATGCCATGTCTTCCATCAGCAACTGGGGTTAATAAGGCTGTATCATTTTCAAAACTTTAATACATCTTAGTGCAACTTCAAATCCTTTTTTGTTGATTCATTAGTTAGTGTTTGACTTAAACATCTCCAATAACATTAGTTTCTTTGATTTAAGTTCATATTTTATGATTTCTGCCTTTTCGATTACTGATTTATTTGCCATATGAATTGCTGCTTTTTAGGGAAATGACAACCATCGCCCTTTTCATCCACCAAAACTAGATGGATGATCTGTTATACAAGTGATCACGAAAGGTGCTTTCCCGTGGAAACCTGATTGGAACACATCACATATATTAAAGGTTTAATGCTCTTTCTAAATTAATTTCATGATATGATTTCTTTATTGTACTTGATTACATCATATGACTAAAACTGTTGATTCTTTTTGATGCCATGGTAAGAAACCAAATTGTACATTACCTATTACTTAATATTAATATACATGCAAAATGTCTAATAGGGATTAAGTCTTTCCATATCGCCTCATAAATTTGAATGCTGTTTAGATGCTAAGGTATAAAAACTTCCATTAAAAGATTATACTGTCATAATCAAACCTAATAACACATTGTAGTTTTATGATTTTTCTTATTAGGTCACTGTACTTTGAAAAACTGAACATGTTTGGTTTTGGTTACCAGTTATATCATTATATATAACTTCTAAGTTTTTATTATTAAAGCACTGTACTTTCAAAACTTATTCCAAATCTTTTGACAAATTCCATTCATTTCAAAAATATATTGTGAACCACTCTGCTCCCAAAACTTGTGGTCATTTATTAAATCAATCAAAAAAGATTCTGAATATTGCATTTATGTTCTTTTTTAGTTACTTCATGCTTTTTATGTTCTTAGTTAGTTACTCTGTTAATGTTTAAAGGATGTTGTGTTGGGTGATTATGCCTTCATGGAAATGATATGCTGGTGTACAGCTGTGATGCTTCAACAAGCACCTTATTGTTAAGTTTTAGCCAAACCAATTATGTTAAGAAAGTATGAATTTCATCTCATTCTTTCATTATTGAATATCAATACTTAAGTAACAATATATGAATGATTTGTTCATCTGTTTAGAGTAATATTACATTTTTGGTCCCCGAGTGTAGCTGATTTTTTCTAATTTGGTTCTTGTTTCAGGTTTGTAATGTGTTTTTACTTGTTCCACATAAGATGACAAAAAACTTGGGACCAAAGTTGCAAAAATCTTCTATATTTGGTGACCAAAAATAGCCACATTACTTGGAACATGGAGCGAAAATGGTACAAAAACCTTAGATAAGGAGCCAGATATTGTAAATTTGCTTTATTCAGGAATCAAAAGTGTATTTTACTCTTGTTTCTAAGTTTGTGTGCTTTATAAATAAGGCAGATAGATGCTCTTTGGCTGCACACATAGTAGCGACAACATCCGAACAGGGGACATAAATTTCTATTTCAGAAGCAACCAAGGTGAAAAGCAAAATACATACAATTTTTATCTGTTTTTCCAAGTTGCCCTTTTTAAGGTAAAAAAACTGTCTTTATTCTCTTTTGCTACCCAAAAACGCCACAATATCAACATCTTCAACATTTAGTTCAAAAATGAGAATTGTAGGAGCAACGAAATTTTGTTTGATAAGTATGAAGATGATGACAAATTTCTAAGGGTTTCTTGTAATCAGGCATTAAAAAGATTGTTCTTTGTTAAATGTTATAATTTTAGTCTTATTGAGTGTAGTGCTTTATTTATCTTTGTCATTTCTGGTTTGTTTAGATGGTTTTGTTTCATTGAAATCTTTTTTTGTGTATATGATCCATTGCTTTCTATAGAGTATAAAATATGGCCTGATATCTATTGTGTTTTTAGTTTCTCTTCCATTGCTTTGCATTTACTGGTCAAAAACTTGGATCTAGTCATGGTTTGAATGTGTTATGTTTGTTTACTCCATTTTAATCTTATGTTAATATTAGCTAACAACAACATTGCTGTCATGAGTTGTTATTAGGCTCACATAATCTGCCACATTTATGTATTTCAATTATTATCATCTAACAAATCCTCTTTTTGTGTCTTTTTGATAGAATAATAACTTAACTGGAACAGTTGAGAGCGCCTACAAATCTGGAAAAAAGCTAAAAAATACTCACAATTATATGATGTGGATACCAAGGTAAGAAGCCAAACTATACTTTGTTGATTACTTAACAATATATACATGCAAAATGTCTGTCTCATAGGCTAAGCTTTCTTCACTTTTGTTTTATACTTTCAACAGTTATAGCATTACTTTTTCAACAAATAACCTATTAAGAATACCTACTTTCTCTTTCTCTCTCTCTCTCTCTCTCTCTCTCTTTTCCTTTTACAGAGCACATGAAAGTTAATTGTACTTTGATGATCTAACCATCTATAAGGTTACACTTTTAAATATAACATTATACTTTCGAAATCCAACATTTTACTTTCATTTGTTTTTCTTATCAAGACTTTGTCCTTTTAATACATTGTATTCTAAAAATCCAGCCATCTTTAGAGCACTATACATTCTATCAAGTCATTGAATTTTGAATAGGAAACTTGTTTTTTTACCAATTATAGCATTATACATCCAATTATTTACCATAGGACACTTGACTTCCATTTTTTTTCTTCAGTTTTAAGACTCTTACTCTCAAAATATAACCAATTATGGCATTATGGTCTCATGTATATCATTATCATTATACTTTCAAAATCTTTTTTATTAGGATATTGTACTTTTAAAATTTTACCCTTTCTGATTTTTGTTACTATTTATTGCGTTATACATTTTTCTTATTAGGACGTTCAATTTTGTATTATTTTTTTTTCTATTAAGACTAAAAATATTCTTATCAAATTATAACATTATACCTTCTCTTTGTAGCACTCTTTTTTTAATATATAAACTATATATGCATTATAACATTATACCTTCGCTTTATAGCATTCTTTTTTGTAGTATATAAACTATATATGCTTTGTACTTTTGAAAATTAAGCTTCATTTGTTTTGGTTTTGGTTGTTATATTATATTTTTAGTTATAGCTTTTTACTCTCATAATGTAACCTATTAAGACATCGTATTGGAAGTATGAATATTTGTACCGACTGCATAAGAACATGTACCAGGTATTTGATACATTGTAGTTTTAAAATCTAACCTATTAGAATATGCTTTTAATAATTAACTGTATGGAACATTATATTTTCACTTATATATTTTTACTTTCAAAAACTAACTAATTAAGATGTTGTAATCTAAATTGGTTTTATTTTTATTTTCTAAATATGTTTTTATGAAAACATTGTCCTTTCCGTACCTTTTCTAATTAAAACTTTATACTTTTAAAATCTAACCATATGCAACATTATTTTTTTTTCTATTTTTAATATTATTCATTCAAAGTCAAACTTCGTAAGACATGTTTTTTTTTTTTTTTTTTTTTTTTTTTTTTTTGTAATTGCAGTTTAAAAATGTCTACTTATACTAATTGTGGCATTATACTTTAAAAATCTAACAATGTATGAATTAAACTGTAGACAAAACTGCAAAAATGGTCCCTGAGGAATGCATTATTTTTGAGATATTGTCCAAACCTCGACTTTTGGAATATAGGGTTACAAAGAAGAGGTCCATCTAAGAGATGCATAGTTTATATAATTTTTTCTATTTAGATGTTCACAACATTGATTACATGTTATAATGCATTCCTGTTAATTAACAGATGTTCCCTTTTGGTGACAGATCATCTCCATTGAAGTTAGTTCCTGACATTGGTACCTTATAATTACAAGATAATTTTTCTCTACATGTCTGTACTATACTTTCTTCACTGAAATTTTATAACATTGCAGCAGGGATCCTGTATTGGACTATATATACATACATACATCTCTGTGTCTTTTATATGATGTTACCTTTACCCTGGTTTGTCCCCCATTAATTATACTGGTAATGCCATCTCTTCCATCAGCAAGTGGGGTTAAGAAGGTTGTATCATTTTCAAAACTTTGATTTGAGTTCATATTTTATGATTTCTGCCATTTAGATTACTGATTTATTTGCCGTATGAATTGCTGCTTTTTAGGGAAATGACAACCATCGCTTTTTCATCCACCAAAACTAGATGGATGATCTGTTATAAAAGTGATCACGAAAGGTGCTTTCCCATGGAAACCTGATTGGCACACATCACATATATGAAAGGTCTAATGCTGTTTCCAAATTAATTTCATGATAATGAATTTCTTTATTGTACTTGATTACATCATATGACAAAACTGTTGTATTTTTTATTGTCTTTTTTTTTTTGTGTATTTGTGTGAAATTCTCTCTGTTTCTAAATCTCATTCTATGGTGATACGAAAAAAGTTAAAGTTGTTGCATTTAACCCTAAAAGAATGCTTAGAGCCTCTGTTAGTCCAACATAAAACTAGTAGAAGAGTGGGAGACCCTCTCCTGAACTCATGTTGTAGTTCATTTAAAAAAATTTGTCTTTGTTGTTTAATTTTGAATTTTAACAAAATGTAAAGAAGAGGTCCACCTAAGAGATGCATAGTTTGTATAGTTTTTTTATGTTTAGATGTTTACAACATTCAACATCTTATAATGCTTTCCTATTAACAATACAAGTGGACACCAAAGGTACTATCCCATGGAAACCTGATTGGCACCATTAATTATACTTTATGATTTCAGCCAATTTGATTACTGATTTATTTGCCATATGAATTGCTGCTTTTTAGGAAAATGACAAGCATCGCCCTTTTTGTCCACCAAAAGTAGATGGATGATCTGTTATACAAGTGAACACCAAAGGTGCTTTCCCATGGAAACCTGATTGGCACACATCACATATATGAAAGGTCTAATGCTCTTTCCAACATAATTTCATGATAATGATTTCTTTATTGTACTTGATTACTGCATGACAAAACTGTTGATTCATTTTGACTTAATGTAGGACAACTTGGATGACATGGCAGAATTGAGACCTATTGTGTGATTACATAACAAAGTATATGATATGATGGGTATGATAAATTTTATGTATTTTAGTAAATTTAGTAATACTGGAGCAGTCAAGAGCAACCAGAAATCTGGAATAAAAAAAAAGCTATTACTTAATTTTAATATACATGCAAAATGTGTAATAGGGAATAAGTCTTTCCATATTGCCTCATAAATTTGAATGCTGTTTAGATGCTAAGGTATAAAAACTTCCATTCAAAGATTATGTTGTCATAATCAAACCTATTAACACATTGTAATTTTATTATTTTTCTTATTAGGTCACTGTATTTGGAAAAACTGAACATGTTTGGTCCCCGAGTGTAGCTGGTTTTTTTCAAGTTTGGGACCAAAGTCGCAAAAATCTGCTATATTTGGTGACCAAAGTGGCTATTTTTGGAACAGTGACCAAAAATGGTGACCCAAATCTTGTAAAATTGCTTTATTCAGGGACCAAAAGTATATTTTACTCTTGTTTCTAAGTTTGTGTGCTCTATATTATATTCTTCTGAGAAACCCATGTTTGAAACCCAAACCCATAGTCACTAATATTATCTTCCAAGATTTGAAGTACATTTTATCACCAGATATCTACAATGAAGCACTTATTTCCTAAATATTGTGAATTCATCATGGTTCTTTACATGCATTTCATTCCATTTGTTTATACTAATTTCCAACTTTTTTTGATCATATTCAGTCTTATAGTTTCCAAAGGGGCAATGTATTATTATTTACAAGCTCTTGAGGCTCTGTTCATGCTTTGTTTCTTGGATTGGCTATTCATCAAAGCTTTTGTTACTGTAAATCCATGATTTTCTTTTTTGGGAAAACATATAATGAGTCCCTGTAGTAATTATTAGTAAAGCACTTATGGCCACTATACTAATATAATCTTATTGATTATCAAGGGTAAATTTGTCCAAAAATATCAGTTTTGGCTAAAAAGTTGGAGTGATGGGAGAAAATGCATGGTGTACTTATTGACCGGTGTTTGGAGGTTAGCTTACAACATAATTCATTTTCTACTATAACTTATATTTCAACTGCTATAATTACAAAAGTAACAGTTGAAGACATGATATTCAAAATTTATCATTTTCTCTTTCAATATTATTTTCTTTGGTTCTTTAAATGCATTTCATTCCATTTGCTTATGTTAATTTCCAACTTTTTGATCATATTCAGTATTATAGTTTCCAAAGGGATAATATGGACCATGTGGTAATGAGTAAAGCACTTATGGCCTCTATACTAAGATAATTTTATTGATCATCAAGGGTAAATTTGTCCAAAATTATCAATTTTGGCTAGGAAGTTGGAGTGATGGGAGAAAATGCATGGTCTACTATAACTTATATCACAACTGTTATAATTACAAAAATACATATTTATTCATGTCTAGGTTTGTGAAGTAACAGTCCCTCTTATTGATCATTGTCAAAAGTTATCTTTTGAAAATTGGTGATGCAAGTCTTGTACTATAAACCTGATGATGTGCTTTCCTTTTTTATTTTTTCTGCAAAATGTGATCTTTTTTATTACTATTTTATTATTTATTATTCATTAAATTCTACTAAATAAATAATGATGCTTCTTAAGATAACAAATGAACGGCCAAACAAAGCAACTAAAAACTCTAAACAAAGTCACTTTGGTTTATGAGTTTGGAAGTTGTACTATTACTTCACTCGAATCTTAAATATTTTTTTGATGATTTTACTTTGAAATGGAAAATTTAATTGAGAATTGAGATATATTGATGGTTGCAATCTTCACTATTTTCTAATGAACAGTAAATAGACAATTTTGGCTTCTGATAGACCCTTGTTGAATACTCTAGGCATTGTAAAGCTCACTCTAACAGAAATTCTTGATAATATTTATAAAGATAGTTTCTCACAATTCTAGAGGTGAGAGTCTCTCCAAAAGAACAATGTTCTCTTACAAATTAATTCTTAGCTGCCTCACTCATACTACTAACTACCATATATATACTACTACTAAAGAAAAGAACAAAAGGGAATAACAGCCAAGTGTTGTTCCCACTAACATAACAGCCAATAACAGCCATAACACCAAAAGGACCAAACTACCCCTACAACCAAAAAGATAGCAGAATAACTCTAATAAAGCAAATCAACTAAGAGCACTCTAGGATTAGTTGGGTTTATCAGCTTCAAGTTTTGAATTTGGGCATAAACATCTTCACTTAACCTTGCAAAAATTAATGGTGACGTAGGTTTTTTGTTTTCCAAATTCCCCTTTTTATGGTAAAAAAACTGTCTTTATTCTCTTTTGCTACCCTAAAACGCCACAATATCAACATCTTAAAGATTTTGTCCAAAAATGAGAACTGTAGCAACGAAATTTTGTTTGATAAGTCTGTAGATGATGGTTTTTTGTAATCAGGCATTAAAAAGATTTTGGTTTTCGTTAATTTTAGTCTTATTGAATGGAGTGCTTTATTTATCTTTTTTTGTGTACATTGCTTTCTATAAAGTATAAAATCTGGCTTGATGGTTATTGTGTTTCTAGTTTCTTTTCCATTGCTTTACATTTACTGGGATCTAGTCATGGTTTGAATGTGTTATGTTTGTTTACTCCATTTTAACCTTATTTTATCTAATATGCTCACATAATTTGCCACATTTATGTATTTCAATTATTATCATCTAACAAATCCTCTTTTTGATAGAAGAACAACTTAACTGGAGCAGTTGAGACTTGAGAGCTAAGCTTTTTTCACTCTTGTTTTATACTTACTTTTTATCCTTTTTTTTTTCTTTTAAAGAGCACATGAAAGTTATTGTACTTTGAAATCCAATATTTTACTTTCCTTTGAACACCTGTACTCTTAAGTCATTGTATTTTTAGTTCTTGTCCTTTTGGTATACATTGTATTCTGAAAGTCCAGCCAACTTTAGCATTATACATTCTATTAAGACATTGTATTTTTAAAAAGGAAGCTTGTTTTTTTACCAATTATAGTACTATACATCCAATTATTTCCCATAGGACATTGGACTTCAATTTTTATTTTTATTTTTTCAGTTTTAAGACTCTTATTCTAAGAACACTGTACTTTTAAATCTTATTCCAATTCCTTTGACAAATTCCATTCATTCCAAAAATATCTTGTGAACCACAAGTTCCCTTACATTACTCTGATTTATTGTTTATGGGATTTGTAGTCGGGGAGTTCTTGAGTAGCAGTCAGACAGTTTCAGATTTAGCATCTCAGTAGCCAGCGTTACGAGATGAGTTTTCCTTCCAGTAGGAACAGGTCTACGACCACAATGCCGGCCCGTTTAGATAGCAGTAGTTCCGGACTTTGGTCCGATGCAGTAGTTCAGTATGCTTGGTGTCTTTGTGATTCAGGCATGTTTATGTGTTAGTCCGAACCTCAGTTCGATGTAGTATGCAGTATATGTGCTTATGCTATATGTTACGATCATGTTATGCTATTTTCAGTTAGTCCAGACTTCGGTCCGATGCAGGGGCAAGGCCCCAGTTAGTCCAGACTTCGATCCGATACAAGGCCCCAGTTAGTCCGGACTCCGGTCCGATGTAGGAGCAAAGCCCTAGTTAGTCCGGACTTCGGTCCGATACAGGGGCCAAAGCCCCAGTTAGTTCGGATTTCGGTCCGATGTAGTGGGCAAGGCCCAATATATGGTTTATATGTTATTGTATGGTATGTGGTAGTTTGGGGGAGCTCACTAAGCTTTGTGCTTACAGTTTCAGTTTTTGTTTCAGATACTTCTGCTAGCAAGGGGAAGAGCTCGGGATGATGGCATGATACCACAATTACAGTTTTATCCTGGGAGTTTTGTTCAAATATTTTAATATGATAATGACTTCAGTTTTGATTTGATACATTAACTATGGCATTTTGAGACATACGATATATGGTTTTATTATATAATGGTAGATGTTGGGTTTTTGGTAATGTTATGACAATTTTTTAGGTTGTATTTTTGGGATGTTACACATAATCTCGTTGCTATTAGTTTGCATTCCAATATCGATCTCCTGGATTTTCCTCGACAAATTCATTTGCCACAATCCTTTAATCTCACATGAAGCACGTAAACACTCTATGTACCTTATTCCATATATGTTTTCAGATGTAATTGTTAAGTCTTTAGTCAAGTTTCTCAAATCACGGAGCCTGACTATGCCATCGCTCATGAGCTCTTCACT